TATTATATGCAGAGTCTCTGGTTTTATTCCTAGATCCTTGATCCATTTTGAGTTGAGTTTTGTGCATGGTGAGAGATAGGGGTTTAATTTCATTTTGTTGCATATGGATTTCCAGTTTTCCCAGCACTATTTGTTGAAGAGGCTATCTTTTCTCCAGTGCATGTTTTTGGCACCTTTGTCTAATATAAGACAATTGTAATTTTATGGATTAGTCTCTGTGTCCTCTATTCTGTACCATTGGACTCCCAGTCTGTTTTGATCCCAATACCATGCTGTTTTGTTACTCTTGCTCTGTAGTAGTTAAAGGTCTGGTATAGTGATGCCACCTGCTTCACTCTTCCTGCTAAGCATTGCTTTAGCTATTCTGGGTCTCTTATTTTTCCAGATGAATAATTTATTTTCAAGTTGATTATCCCTTTCTTCTAACTGATTTCATTGGTACTTTATAGATATACATAAAGGTGGAGTTCACTGTGACATAATTCTGTATACATGGCATAATTTGGTCAATTGCATTCTGCAATTCTTCCCTTTTCTCACCCTTCTTCTCCTCCATCCCCTTCCTTTTTTCCACTGAAATTCCTTCTGGTTTCTCAGGATAGCCTTCCTCTTTTTCCCCTTATTTTAGTGTTGTTTCCACATATGAGAGAAAACACTCAACCCTTGACTTCCTGAGCCTGGTTTATTTAACTTTGCACGATGTTTTCCAGTTCTCTCCATTACCAGCAAAGTCATAATTTCTTTATGACTGAGGGAAAAAACCCCTCCATTTTGTGTGTGTGTGTGTGTGTGTGTGTGTGTGTGTGTATGTGTATCACATTTTCTTGATCCATCCTTCTGTTGATGGGCCCCTGGACTGATTCCATAACTTGGGTATTGTGAATTGCACTGTTATAAACATTGATGTCGTGTATCACTATTGTATGCTGAGTTTAGTTCTTTTGGATAAATACCCAGGAGTAGGATAACTAGTGTTTTAGTCAGCTTTTCTCACTGCTGTGACTAAAGATCTGTTCAGGGTAATTTTAAAGGAGGAAAAGTTTATTTGGGGACTCACGGTTTCAGAGGTCTTAGTCCATAGAAGGCTGGCTCTATCCTCAGGGCTCAAGGTGAGGCAGAATATTATGGTGGGAGAATGTGGCAGAGAGAAGCAACTTACATCATGATCAGAAAGCAGAGAGAGAGAGAGAGAGAGAGAGAGAGA